TTTTCCTGGTCTTCTCCACGGCTGTTCCTGCTTTCTCTGACTATAGTGGGAGCAGAGGGGCTTGCTGCTGCTCCAGAGGCCCCGGGATACCCTCTGGGGTGCAGTTATTCTTTGTCACCCCTTCCCTGTAGGCTGTTTCCAGGCCACCACAATAGTGTGGCTTCAGGAGCTGTTCTCGGGCCTCTGAGTTTGCACTGTACACATCACCCTTAACAGCACACAGCCCAGACTCCCCCCCTGGCCACTTCTCGCCAGCATCTACTACCGATTTTAATTTTTGTTCTCTTTCCCGTCCCCCTCTCTGACTCCACACCCCATCATGACACACAGTCGTTCAGCACAAACCCATCCCCCTGCCCTCCTGTTAACAGAACTCACCCTCTTCAGATATACTTTTCATCTGAGCAGACCCTTGCAAAAGGTCTTCTAGCCAAATGCTGAGCCTGCCCCAACAGGACTCCTGGTGAATAAAACTCTGTTTATTTTATTACACAAATAAGAGATGCCAACTCTAGTCCCAAGAAAGGGAGCCAAGCAACACCCCAAACTGTGTCTACTCTGTGAGAGCTTCCTATGCTTGGGCCCGCTTTCCCTTAATGTCCCCTCCTGCATGTCCTCGTACCTAGCAACCTTCCTGGCTATTCCTACCTGTCTCTTTTATGTTGTCAGGCAACTGGCCTTAGAGAGGTGGAAGGGGGCAAGGGTGACAGGCGTCCTGGGGTGGGTCTCAAACCATGTGGCCTCAAAAGCCAGCTTGTAAAATCAGTGAAAGAGGATTGTACCGAAGATAGGTTCTTGGCCATGACCAAGCGCCTCTGGGTGGGATTCTGTGCCCAGCACTCACCGTGCTGCTCTCTGTTCCTTCTGCTGGGATGTTGTATGGGTGTTGGAAATATCTCCCCACGCTGAGGCTACACCGTGGCTGCACATCTGTGGGAGTCTCTGTATTCAGTAGGAGATGCTGTCTACTGGGGAATTAATTGATCATCCAGATTACAGCCTGATGGTCAAAGCTTCATGCTCCCAGTTCCCTGAGGTCATGGTCTGGATGCTAGGACTCAGGCAGCCTGCCCCATGCCCACACTTTAGGGGCCCCGCTTGGGTCTTGCTCTGGCTGTGTCCCTCCCCATGGGGAGAAGAATGTCCGGGGCTAAGGGCCTGTGTCCACCCAGAGCTTGCCCTCCTTCCATGGCTGTGCATGAGGCCTGCAGTGCAGGACGGTGTGGGGCTGGGGAGAGGGGCAGGATGGGATGCAGGCCTTGGGCCTTGTTTCCACTCTTCCTCCTGAGCCCCACGATGCTAGAAGCCAACCTGACTGTTCAGTTTTCACTTGTTTTCTGGACAAATGACTAACAACGAAGCTTCTTCCAATGAATGCAAGACAAGACCACTCCAGCCCCCAATTCTTAACAAAATTAAACAGGTCAGGTCAGTCCTTCTCACTCAAAAGCTTTTGGAGGGGCTTCCCTGGTGGCGCAGTGGTTAAGAATCCTCCTGCCAATGCCGGGGACACGGGCTAGAGCCCTGGTCCGGGAAGATCCCACATGCCGCGGAGCAACTAAGCCTGTGCGCCACAACTACTGAGCCCGCGTGCCACAACTACTGAAGCCCACGCGCCTAAGAGCCTGTGCTCCGCAACAAGAGAAGCCACCGCAATGAGAAGCCCGCGCACCGCAACGAAGAGTAGCCCCCGCTCGCCACAACTAGAGAAAGCCTGTGCACAGCAACGAAGACCCATCACAGCCAAAACTAATAAATAAATAAATTTATTTAAAAAAAAAAGCTTTTGGAGGCTTCCCAACACAGTTAGAATGAAATCCAAGGGCCCAAAGGCTCCACCCAATTCTGCCCTCGAGCTTTGGTGTTTTTGGAACCGGCTGCCATGTTTGAAGCCCTGCACCTGTGCCAGAGGGCCCCCAGGGAGAGAGAGGCCTGGGACTCCGTGGGGTCACCCTGCCTCTCGGCCCCTGGTCCTGCTGTTCCTCCATGTCCCGCCCCCCCACCCCCCAGTCCCTGTGGACCTTCCTGCGACGCCCCCAGCCTTGTCCCCGCCTCGGCTCCATTGCTCTTGTAGGTTTCCTCTCCTGGGATCACCTTGCCGGTGTTCACACTTCTGCCAGTTTCTTCTCCCCGCTGACCCCGTAACCACACGGTGACCATCACCCCTTTACCTGCGAGCTTCGTTTTCTTTCCTGTTCCAATTTATATTATAAATATTTTATAATATAAATATTTTTTTTCAGGACTGTGCCTGGACATATAAAGTCCTGGATAAGTACTTGTTAAATGAATGAATGAATAAATGAATGGACGGATCCCAGCCATCATGTTCCTT